ACAGCACCTGAAGGGCCGGGGGCTCAAGTAGGTGCGGCCTGCGGGCCGGGGCCGGGGAAAGGGGGCTCGAGGGGACCGCGACGCGAGTGTCGGGGGGAGGGGAGGGCCTGAGCCGGGGGAAATAATGAACCTCGAAGGATTTGTTTTTCGAGTGTCTCGGAGACATCTTTGTGGGACACCTCCCCACCCCCAGCCTGACAACAGCCCAGGCAAACCACCAATCAGCAGAGGCAGCCACCTACAAGTGTTTGTGGGGACGCGGGGCTGGGCGCTTTGGGAGAGGGGCTGAATGGCCCTGACGGGATCTTGAGGTGGAATGCCCCGTGTGTGCGGTAGGCCTAGCACTAACACGGCTGGAGTTCCGGCTTAAAGCCGTCCAGATGATTGCCTCTGAAACAGGGACTTCTGAACCGGTGAATCATTTGTTTTCAAGTACGGTTTAAATGGCTTTGTGTAGCTAGCTAACAGGGAGCGAAGGTAGACAGCGGCTTTGGCACAAAACCACTGTTTTGTATACACACAAAGTAAAAGGAAAAGGGTGGAAGGTAGGATTAGGGAGTCCATTGGAGGAGCCAGAATCACGATGAGATGAAGCTGGGAAAATCATGCAACAGTTCTCTAGCTTCCAAGTGTGGGCTAAAGAATGAGGCTGGACAGTGCGCAGTGTCGCGTTTATGAATTTGCTAGGAAGTGGGGAAGGCAATTCTTTTTTTTGCGGGGGGGGGGGTCGGGGGTACCGGGGATTGAACTCGGGTCCTTGAGCTTGCGAGGCAGGCCACCGAACCACTGAGCTAAATCCCCGGCCTGGGAAGGCAATTCTTTAAAAAGTGATTTAAGTTATTTCTCAGGCTGATGATGACTGCACTGTTTTTAAGTTGTTTCTCAGGCTGATGATTGCACTGTTAAATCGAGAAAATAGGTAAACCCAAGGAAAGCATTACATTGAAACTGACATACAAGCCTGCTAAAGATATCAAAATAGCTGACAGAAGGAACCACATTTGATGAATCTTTTTTAAGCTCTCCAAGAAAAATAATGTGGTAGGGAGATTCACTTTATTCCCTGAGGAAAAGGGTTAGGATGAAAACATTTTGTAAATGCTAGCAGAACATGTTATTGAGACAAGCAAGCTGACAGCCGCAGGAGGAAATAACTCGTGACGGTTGGGAACCTACACCTTAGTAAATTTGCTATTTTTAGTAAAGAGAGAAAGGAAATGTGTTTTGATGTTAGATTTATTTTAATTTTGAAGATCCATCTAATAGAATTTCTGCACAAACATATCTAGACAGAAGGCTGTGCCTGATGCAGGTCGTATGTTACTTTGGTGTGGAGTGCTTATCTGAGCAGTTGACACATTTTTGGAAATTTTATACTTCATGAAATTTCTGAGACATTAAATAGCAAAACTAGAAAGAAATTGATTCTGGTTTCAAGAAAAAGTCCTTAACTTGACCGGGAATAAATGTAGTTGGCACTTAAGTTTATTTAAGTAAATTGAAGCCATTTTTTTTCTCTTCATCATTAAGTTGGTTTAAAAACTTTGCAGCTTTTTTTTTCCAGCTTTAATTGAGTTTATTGGTACATTTTAGGGATACAGTACAGTTACATTCATTGTTGGGATCTTGTACCTCTACATGACAAGTCTTGGTTCTCGTTTTTTCCCCTTGTGCAGCTTTTTTGATAGACATAAGTTTATTTGGAAGACTGAAACTGGGAAGTTGTCGGGTCTTTTTTACACTGTATCTCTCCTGCAGCCAGACTGTTGATCTCCTCATGCAAGAGTCAGGATGTCGTTTAGAACATCCTTCTGCCACCAAGTTCCGAAATCATGTCATGGAAGGAGACTGGGATAAGGTAAAGTAGGGCATACAGAACTGTGACTGCTGCTGAAATTATATGTTGAGTGTGCATTTTGTGACATTTCTTATTTTGTTTGTTTTCTTTTTTTTTTAATCAATTTTTGCAGGCAGAAAATGACCTGAATGAATTAAAGCCTTTAGTGCATTCTCCTCATGCTATTGTGGTAAGAGGCGCACTTGAAATCTCTCAAACGTTGTTGGGAATAATTGTGGTAAATACACTTTTGTTCTTAGTTTTACGTTTATGCTTATTTTAATAGGTTTTTGATAATTCTAGGCATCTGCCTCTTATAGAAGATAAGGCTTAAAAATAATTTTTAGATAATTAAATTTATAATCTAGAATTAGTTTATGTTTTAAAGTGTGTTTTACATTTTTAAGATCATACTTAGAAAATGTATTATGTGAACGTAATTTATAAATTAAGCTCTACAGAAATTATATTGAAAGATCTTCCTGCTTTTGGTGCTATTAGTGGGTGTTTTATACTTGTAAAGCATGTTATATTTTTATATTGCTCAAAATACTAAATGTATTGTTAAAGAGAAAATGTGTAGGTGTCTAATATCTGTACAGCTTTAATGAACTGGCACATTAATTACTCCCACCCTCCAAACTTTGGGAGTTATAGTTAATTTAAACCAACATCAATTGGTGCTCACCATTTTCCATTCTTGCATTCCAAGTTGTGTGGATTGACAGTGTCAAAGTGTTTAGCACATGTATGACTCCTGGAGAATATACAGATTTGACCATTGGGCTGCTTTCTTGCCTTATTTCCCTGACAAGATCAATGTCATAGTTTAACCTGTCAGCCTTCTCAATTCTTAATCTTTTCATACTGATGGCTTCAGTTATCCAGATGTTGGTGAGGAGAGGGTATGTTTTTTTCCAATTGCTGTTCAGAAACCATGAAGGATCAGCTGCTGGCTGTTGGCTGCTGGCTTTTTAACTTCTAGCTGATTCATTTCTTGTCAGAAGCAGTTTCCTGTCTGGTGGGGGAGGGAAAGAAGGCGAATAGGAAGTGAAGTAGGGAAACCAGCTGTTCGTTAAATATTAGTAGATGACTGTTAACATTTTGGTGGTGGTGGTGATGGGGTGTGTGAGTGTGTGTTCTTAAATTGGGTCAGACATTAATAAAGCCTGATGTTTATTTTTTTAATTTCCTTTAAAACTTAGAAGAAGAGTTTTCAAATTTCAGTGTAAATTCTGTGTGAAAGTACAACTCTTAAAAAATAGGCTTCAGGTGAATTAGAATTAAAGCAATGTGTAAACTGAAAAAAGGTAGGAGTCCTTTCTTTTTACATCTTGGTCAGTCTGTAGAGCACTGTGAGATCTAATAAAAGATGAAGGTAAAGTCCCTGGCTGAGCCTCACACCATCTGACTGTTTAGGTATTTACACAAAGAAAGGGGTTCTGACTTGTATCTCACTTGAAGCATTGGCAAATCAGTTGCTTTTAAAGACTGAGTTCAGCTTTTTTTTTTTTTTTTTTTTTTTTGAAGTTGCTTTTCACCTTTCTAAACGTGTTTACATTTACTCCTCTCCCCACCTCATTTTCAGAAGAAGATAATCTAATATACATGTGGTCCTGTTTGTAATAATACCTTTAAAGACAACTATTTGGGTTTTTAAAGCATAATTATTTTAATTGTATACTCAGAATCATTTGATGACTTGGTCCAGACCAAAATTGTACTTTATTTTTAAAACCTGAATGTTTTATTGACCCAGTCTATTCCCCCTCACCACATTGCCCTCTCCTTCCCATTTTTAGATGGTATCAAATGATACTAGGAATAGTGGAAGTTTCTTTGGACTTTCCAGAAGCCGAACTCATGAATCTAAAGTAAAATAGAAGTTTTGAGAGCCATGGTTTAAATGTAATTCATTTCCCCTTTCCATTGAGTCATTAAGTGGCTACAACTTGTCTTATAAACTTAGAACCATTACCAATAACTAGACTTTGTGTGTATCATAATTTAAGACTTCTTCCTCCATATTAAAATTCAGTCTGAGGGTTTAGTGGCAGAACCTTGCTTAGTATAAAGGAGGCCCTGAGTAAAATCAGTCTTGAGAGGAAAGAGCAGTCCAGACACGGGGGAGGTGAAGTAAATGGCAACAGTTTGTAGTGTGAAGCTGTGGTTCAAGCTATCATAGTCATTTGTCAATTTCAGGGGTTTTTTTAGATGTTTAAAAAGGGAAGAAAAATATTGCTGAGTCTAGAAATATCAAAAACTCATTAGAAATCAGAGATAATCTCATAGAGGTCTAATTGGAAGTAAGAAAAGATATAAAGGAGAGATACATTTTTGCACCTTTCTTCTGTAGCCCCCCACCATGTTCTTTAAAAAAGAATAGAGTCCTGTCCCCATCTAAGCAAGTTTCAGTTTTGCCTGATTTTTAAAGCCTTTCCTATAAATAGTTAATATCATTTGTGCATTCTTCAGATTATAGTTACATTTTCATGTTTTAAATTTTGGAAGGTAAAATACAGTTACTCTGTTATTTGTGAACTGCTTCTGAGGAGGCTACACGTTTTTATCTCTGAACCAGATTTCTAGCTATGTTTGGCTAAGAGCAAGATGTCATGTACAATAGTAAAGTTCAGTATCTGTCTGAGGATAGTCTTTGTCTTAATCTGGATAAAATGACTCCTAGAGAAATGATGTTGCGCTGCTTCTATAACATTCCCTGTATATACAGAAATGTGTGATTATATTGGCATCTCTCAGGGTTTTAGTCTGCCTTCCTCCTCTCTCTCTTGCCCTGCCTCTACCCCATAGGATGTAAGTGGCTTGTTCACTCAAGATCTTGGTGGGAAAATAAGGAAGAAATAGCACTTAGGGCACTGTCCCTACACACATCAGAATGGAGGAGGGCATTGGCCCTTATGACTAATAAACATGCAAATGACTTGCCTCAGGTTTTAAAAAAAAAAATCTCCCAATTCCCAGTTGCCAAGAAAATTTAGTGAAGAAGTTAAATCACATGCTGACAAGTTCCATGTGGTGTTTAAATGCAAGAATTCTGAACTAGATGTGATTCTCAAGTTTGAGTAAAAAGTGTACCGAATTAAGTGAAATTTTTAACATAGTATTGATTATGGAAATTTATGAACACTTCATTTTATAAGGAATTATTTATGGAGGATAAAATGGTGAGAACATTCCAGAAAACCTTCGCATTAAAAAAAAAAAATCCCTTTTTTTTTTTTAAAGATCTTTTGTTTGGGGGGGTGTTGTTTTAAATCTGGTGAAACCTTGGGGTAGTTTTTTATTTGACGTGTAAAGGTTAACCTGAGGGTACATGTACAGCAGCATACTTCTCAAGGCATCTCAGTGATAAGTCTGTTTCTGAATCATTCCTGTATCAATCTTAGTGTAAAATTTGGTAAATTATTTTCCTGGAGTTAAAGGAGCTTGTCTCTGATTCATGTTTGATTGCTATCAAACAGGAATCACACAATTTAAGAGTATATAAATGTTTGCCTAATATATACGAGTTTATTTTTTTCTACTTTGAGAAAGTTTTATAAACTTGTAGTTTATGCCTTTCTTGTAAATGCTCCTTAATAGAAAAATTTGAAAGGCAGTTCATTATACTGTTTAATTCTGTAAATACATATTTACCATGTTATGATAGCAGCATGATATTTTTAATGATTTTAAAGTAAGCATCTTAATAGATAAACACTGTACTTTAAGTTTTTCTTTTAAATGGATTTGAAATCCTCACCACTATATGCCTTAGTTTAGAGTCTCTAACTATGATTAGCATTTCTTGCCTATCTTTTCTACCTACATCAGTTGGCTTGTTCTAGCATAAGTAACAAATTTGATGGAAGTATCCCTCCAAGCAGTTAGTTACTTTAAAGGTTTAAAAGAAATTCAAGATAATGACTTTACATATCTCTCCCCTTGTAAAAAGCTAAGAATGATGATCACGATAAGGCAACATTAAAAAACATTAAAGCCATTTCATTGCAGGGGAAAAAATGAAAGTCAGTCTAGAGTGCTTTATTCTTGGGAGGCAAATGAGCTGATAATAATTGTGCTTTGTGGTTAAACATATCAACCATCAGTTTGTTGCAAATATACACATTGAGCCGTTTTAAAGACCTTTTGGTTCACCCCTCTAATGTAAGCATCCCTTCATAGCCACCTAGAAAAGATGAGCTTACACTTTCCATAATAGAGGGAATAGCACTGGCCTCGGGTCTGATAGATAGCTCCTCTTAACTCTGCATAAGCTGAAACGTGCCAGGGGTCTAGTTCTTCATTCTGGTCTACTTAGCCCCTCACATTGTGGCTTTTTAGTTTTTGTTGGTATATATGTGTATATATGTGTGTGTGTGTGTGTGTGTGTGTGTGGTTTGAATATTTATTTATTTATTTAGTGGTGCTGGGCCTCACATGCTAGGCAAGTGCTCTACCACTGAGCTATACCCTTAGTCCATGCATTGTGACTTTTAAGTAATTCTTCTGTTAACTGGTTTTCTCCAGTCTTTTCAAAAAAAAAAAAAAAAGTTGCATAAAACCTCTCAATGTTCTATTGTAAAAGAAAAATTTTTTTGAAAAAATTTTGAGGTGCCTCGTTTCTCAAAGCACCCACACTCCACTCTTGAGAGCATTCTGTATCTGTCTCTAATAAATCCAGTGTTTGAAGTGCTTGGAATAGTTCTAAATGTTTATAAACAAAATTCTAGGTGGATATTTTGAGAGCAGAATTCCGCTTTTTCCTGTATTGATGATGCTCTGGTCACTAATGATCTTGACAGATTTTGAGTTTTACTAAGATGTAGAGTTGAGCACATTTAATCTATTATGACTTTTAAACCAAAATATTTTTAGTGATCTTGAAGCTTTGTAAATATTTTCAAAGGGCATAGTAGAATGGTTTCTACTGTTCTGTTTAGGCACAAACATTTTCTGAAACTACCATCAACTTTTTTCCCTGACTGCTGCTTTCTGTCATGTCAGAGGATGAAGTTTTTGCTGCTGCAGCAGAAGTATTTGGAGTACCTGGAGGATGGCAAGGTCCTGGAGGCACTTCAGGTTCTGCGCTGTGAACTGACACCTCTGAAATACAACACAGAGCGCATCCATGTTCTTAGTGGGTAAGTGCAGACCCCAGATTAATGATGGGGCTGTTTTGTTTGTTTGTTTTATTTTACAGAGATTACCACTTGCCACAGTTTAGTATTCTTTAACATTTTTCCCAGAGAGAAATGCCTGGATGTTATCAGATTCTTATATAATATAGTCTAGGTAAGTTCCCTGGTGTCATCCTAGGAAGCTATTCATATTAGGATAGGAAGATGTTAAGTAGATGAATAGAAGAAATGCATGCTACCCATGAAATGCTGTATCAGAATTCCATGAAAACCCTAGGGCTTGGATCATAGCAAGCAGTGAAGTGTATAGAAGCATCTTTTTTAAATTACTAAAATGACCACATGTACCAGGTTCTTGCAAGGATTTTGCATAAACAGTGTCATCTTATCCTTACATTACTACTTTAAATGTCAAAGCTCCCAAAGACTTGGGCCTGAGCCCTTTCCTTTTTTCTGTCTGACCCTTTCCCAGGTAGTCTCTACACTATGCCTTCACATACCCTGTGTGCCAAGGGCTCCCAAGCCTACCTTCTCATCTGAACGCCCTGTTTGTAGCTAGTGGCTTACAGGACAGGTTAGTTTCCACTTGGATTTCTGATCAGTGTGTCAGAGTTTCATGTTCAAAACAAAAGTCTTGACTCCAGTTGTATCTCCTCCCACTTCCATACCCGCCTGGGCCACTGTTGGTAAATGACAGGTCCTACCAGCTTGCTCACACAAAACCTAAGCTTTATTGTTCTTTCTTTGTGTTGTGACTTGGACATGTAGGGCCTGACTCCAAAAACATGTCAAATCTGTCTTTTCTTTCCATCTCCACAGTTTCTATGCTGGCTAAGCCATGGAGTGAATCTCTCCTAGAGTGTTACAGTAATTTCCTACCTTACTGCCCTGACTCCACCCTTACTCTCTTAACAATACTTCACACAGCCACTGGAAAAATACATAATAAAATCATAAATTAAGTTATTTCACTCCCTTGCTTAAAACCTTCCACTAGCTTTTTGGCACATTTAAAATAAAACCGCAAATCTCTGCCTAAGCCCGCAGGAGCCCTCATCCTCTCCTGCGCTTTCCTTTATTCATTCCTCTATAGTGACACTAACTACTTCTGTCCCTTGACTTGCCACCTCTTTGCACTGCTTGACCTTCTGTCTCAGATGTGCTTCTCCCAGTCTCTGGCTTCTCGTTGCTCAGGTCCCAGAGTAAGTAACCTCTCTTGAGGCTACCTTATGTCATTTAACTGGTTTTCATTTTCTTCTTAGCATTTTTCACTGCATGATCCCCCAACGTCTGTAACAGTACTGACACAAAGTGAGTGTTCACAGGCAAAACGGGGAACAGAAGAATGAACAGCCCAGACAGGTTAGGGCTCATTTTGCAGATAGGAAAACAGCCTCAAATCAAGTGACTGACCCAGTGAAATAGTTAATTTTGTGTAAACCTGAGTGTTTTGTTTTCCAAAGTTGAAGAATAAATTTGAGGAAAGAAAGGAAGAATATAGGAGAGCGTTTATTAGAAACAATAAGGTAAAAAGCTCTCTCCATGGACAGCAAGATGAGATGGATACCAAGTCCAGTGTGCTCTTTGTTGTGGCCTTGTGGGGAAAGGGGTTGTTTTAATGGAGATGACTTTAAAAGAGCTTAAGAAGAAACTGGTTATCTTGTATTTTAAATGTTTTTTTCAAGTTCATTTGGGATGGAGAGGAACTGTCAACTAACCTGGCCTATCTTCTTTCTGCATAGAAAGGTCCTTATCTGCCCCCTCAGATAACCCTTTTTCCTTTGTTTTTGTTTTCATTTTTTAATATGTTGAAGCTTAACCAGCTACTTATTTAATTCTTTTTTTTTTTTTTTTTTGTTGG